ACCAAACGGGAACCAAAAACTAACTAATGTTCTGGGAACGTTAAGAAAACTTTCCTGGCTAACCAAAAACAAACCATAAAAAAATAACAAGTTCTGGGAACGTTAAGAAAACTTTCCTGGCTAACCAAAAACAAACCATAAAAAAAATTTACGTTCTGGGACCTTTAAGAAAACTTTCCTGGCTAACCAAAAACAAACCATAAAAAAATAACGTTCTGGGAACGTTAAGAAAACTTTCCTGGCTAACCAAAAACAAACCATAAAAAAATAACATTCTGGGAACCAAAAATTGTTAGCTGGGAAATACCCATTTTGAATGTTTACCTGCTTTCCTTCTCTTTCTGCTCCCAGTCACTGTGGTGGAGCAGTTATGAAGTATTGTTTTTTTAAATACTTTCCAGCATTTCAGAAATAAATATGTAGGCTATGCAAATTACACCGAAGTACGTTACCTTAAGGTGTTCGGGAGTGCTCAAAAAGGGTTTAAAACACTGAATTTTTAATCGATGTGGATTCGGACGGCAATTAAATTACCACACGACCTTGGTGTTTGTCCAAAAACAAAAAAACTAACTTTCCGGGAACCAAAAATTGTTAGCTGGGTGGTTGGTCATACGATAACTTAACTAGTTAAAGATACATATTAATAAGGTTTTTTCCCACCTTGGACAAATATTCATTCTGTTTTGTCCTCATTTAACCTCAAATTTAAGGAGGGCAACATATCAGGCTATCACTGGAAAACTGAGGTGTTCTTAAACATGCTCGAGTGCGATCGTGACCCACTTTCAACAGTCTAATGGATGTTTTTCATTACTGCTAAATCAAGCCCAACTATCTGGCCCAACAGCGAAATGCAAGGAACGACAATGGCTCTTATTTTCTGTCTCCTTGCCAAGAGATATGCTAACACTTCAGCAATGCACAGCATTCCCATCACCAATGGGAAGAGTGTATTGGAAAGGATCACGGGACACTCACATGGCTATGCGGAACACTTTTCTCAAGTGTCTATATCAGAATCCATCTTTATCTAGCTATCTATCTATCTATCTATCTATCTTGCTGCTTTAAAGGATTATTATAAAGTGTAACTTTTATTTGTAAATAAGCAACATGTAATAAAAATATTTTTTTTCCATATAATACATAAATATATTTATTTATTTGTGTTGCAAAAAATGTCAAAAGTATAATTTTATTACCATTTGATAGCATCATTGTAACATGGTACTCCTACAGTATCTTTTTTGGTAAAGGTTTCAACAAAAAAAAACAGCAAACTGACAACAATGATCAAAAACTACTGAGTGTGAATTCATTAAAAGATCGTTAACATTGCAAATGCATAACAAAGAAAAAACCTGACTCGTTTCCTCTAAAAACAGCATGTTAGCACTTTCAGTCCCCCAGCTAAACTAGGCCAACACAGACTCAAAGAATGTTACCCAATCACGTGCTTAAAACATGACATGTTAAAACATTTTAAAGGGGTCATATGATGCGATTTCAATTTTTCCTTTCTCTTTGGAGTGTAAGCTCTTGGTGCATAAAGAAAATCTGTAAAGTTGCAAAGACTAAATTCTCAAATCCAAAGAGATATTCTTTATAAAAAATAAGAGTCAGCCACACCTACCTAAAACGGCTCGTTTTAACACGCCCCCACATACCTACGTCACAATGTGGGAAGATTTGCATAACCCCGCCCAAATGTTCACGCATAGAAAGAAGGCGTAACTTTTATTCTCGCTGTAGTATTGTTGCCACCGCCGCCATGTCGTGAAGGCACTGTGCTTCGTTGTGAAAGCGAAACTACTTTGTTTGGTCTTCCAAAAGAGGACTATATTCCTTCGTCATGCCTGGAGCTGATCGGTGCTGGTCGCTGAGGAAATACATCAACTTTGCGCTGTCGATCGCCGGATCGGCTTTCACCGTGGACGAAGCAGAGTCCAGCCTGGGGTCATCACATATGGCTGCTGCAGGCATCACAATATGCTAAGGGACGTAACATTTCCATCACACGCTTGAGGAATTCGGCCAATCACAACGCACTGGATAGCTGGCCAATCAGAGCACACCTCGCTTTTTCAGACCGATGAGCTTTGTAAAAATCGACGCGTTTCAGAAAGGCGGGGCATAGAGGAGAAACAATAATGTACAGTATGTGGAAAATAATGTGTTTTTTAACCTTAAACCACATTAAACACATTTCATTACACCAAATACAGATTTGGTCGAGTCACTAAAATCTTGCTACAACAATGTGACTGGATGCTGCTTTAGGAATTGATGGCTTTTTGTTCTCCGCAGAGAATCTCTCTCAGTGACCTCTCTTTGTCTTAGGGTACGTGTGGGACATGTTCCATTGATCGGGCTCTTCCCCAGGGGGCACGTCATGGTGGACACCAGTCACTTTACTACAGGGTCAGTTTTACTACAACCATCTCTAAATGTATCTTTATTGCTCATCAATGTATTCCACCCTCAACAGACATGAGTGCTTGCAAGCTGCTCTAAGACTCAAAGTCGCACAACACACATATAACAGTATAATCATACTCTCAAACAAAATTCACAAGGATAAGGATAATTCAATGGCCTGAGGCCAGTGTGAGAGCATTGTCTTACTTGTTATCTTGCACATGGCGACAATGTACAAGTGTTTTAGGCATTGCAAATGCAAACTTTAACTTTTGGTTTTCTGTTATGCACTGAACATTCTTATGATTTAAATGTCACTAATTATGTGCCAATATTATGATTTGTGACAGTCTGGAAAACACCAGTTAGAACAGGTAGGATTGTATTTTATAAATAGAGAATTGTATTTTATCATTTTATTTTATTACTTAAAAAAATATCAAATTTATAAAAATGTAAATTGTATATACTGGGTGCACATTTAAATATTTACACATTATTTACACACACATCCATACATATACATATATATATACACACAGGTGCATCTCAATAAATTAGAATGTCATGGAAAAGTTCATTTATTTCAGTGATTCAACTCAAATTGTGAAACTCGTGTATTAAATAAATTCAATGCACAGAGACTGAAGTAGTTTAAGTCTTTGGTTCTTTTAATTGTGATGATTTTGGCTCACATTTAACAAAACCCCACCAATTCCCTATCTCAACAAATTAGAATATGGTGACATCAGCTAATCAACTCAAAACACCTGCAAAGGTTTCCTGAGCCTTCAAAATGGTCTCTCAGTTTGGTTCACTAGGCTACACAATCATGGGGAAGACTGCTGATCTGACAGTTGTCCAGAAGACAATTATTGACACCCTTCACAAGGAGGGTAAGACACAAACATTCATTGCCAAAGAAG